GACAGTTATCTTCTCATTCTATTGTTACATGGCCAAGAGACATCTCTAGCCTATTTTTGTCTTCTTATAAAGGCACTACTCTCATCATAGAGGTTCCACCATCATGACCTCATCAAAATCTAATTACCTGCCAAATGCTCCACTTCCTAATACTACCACAATGGGGGTTATGTTTTCAACATATGAATTTGTGGGGGACATAAACATACAGTTCACAACAAAGATTTTTTTTGTTTGTTTTTAAACAGAGCTAGCACGTCTGCTAAGGAACCATTGTCATCTCCCAGAAGGACTACAGAGATTTTAAGAATTTAGCCTCTGTAGACGTTTGATTACACAAGAGATTTCTATGGTCTTTCCTTATCTATTATTTATGAGAAAGGCTTTGGTTTTTAACCAGATAAATAAGCACATCCATCTATGTATGTGTTCAGTAGTCAGTTTCAAAAACACATCCCATTAAAGTCCTACTGCAAATATTATGGTGGTTTCAAAAACATTGTATCTAACGTCAGAGTTATATTCCAATAGCCAGTAGATTATGTGCCAAATCACACTCTACTAACAAGCGTATTTGGAAAACACTTTGATATTCTGTTAAATACACCTAGGGGGAATGAACATGTATTAGCTTCCCAGGGCTATCTGTAAATCTTAATGAGAATTCCATCTCATGGTCTTCTGCCTTCTGGTTATCACCAGCAGTCCTTGGTATTCCTTGCATTATAAATGTATCTCTCCAATCTCTGCCTCCATCCTTCGTATCACCTTCTCTGTGATTCTGTGTGTGTCAAATCTCCCTTTCCTTTTTCTTATTTGGACACCATTCATTGTATTTATGGCCTACCCTAAACCCAAGATAATCTCAAGATTCCTAACGTAATTACATCTGCAAAGACTATTTCCAAATAAGGTCACATACACAGATACTGGAAACTAGGACTTGGATATATCTATCTGGATATATATATATGTATATCTTGGGGGTCACCATTTAACTCACTACAGATCAGTATAGTCTACACTGTCTATTTGAACTTTCCAAACTGAACTTCAAAGTTGAAGGGGCTGTTGCTATCAGGGCTCCAGAGTGAAGATGAAACAGCCAAGGTACATTTTGCAGGGAGTAGGAATGTTCTCTGTTAGGGGGAAGGCAGTGGTGGTTCTGGGTCATCCACTGGGAACTGGGCACAGCTTTCAGATGAAGAGACAGTGAGGAGCTGTCCAGCAGACCAGGTTCCAGATCTGGACAAGAGGGCACACTGGGGAGAATAAGGGGAAGGGTGCTGTAATTCAGGATATTGCTAGGACTGGACACAAATGCCAGCACCTGGGTAGAGTTAACTATGAAGGTATCCCAGGTCTCTAAGCAAGAGGATCCTAGATAAACAAAGCTCAGACAATCCCCAAATTATGTTTTATTCTCATTTTCTCTTCCTTTTTTTTTTTAGTACCTTGTCATGTGGTCCTTCTTTTTGTCACCTGAGAGGTTACACAGTACTCAGAAGAGAATGGAATAAAAGATAGACCTGCCGTAAGCTAGGAGGTTATGGGCCCTAGATGAATTCAGACCATAGTCTAATCTCAGCCCTGTCACTTACTAGCAGTATAATCTTGGGGAAATTACCAACACTATGAGCCTTGGATGCATCCTCTATAAAATGGGTTTGATAAGCCCTCTTATAGGACTGCTGGAATGTATGGAAAATAAGAAAAGCATCTAGCACAGTGGCATTTACTAGGTCTTTAATGAATGGTAAATATTTTTAGTATTATTTTTGCCCCAGGCCTTACTACCCTCTCCTCTGGGATTTTGTTTTTATCCAGGATATCCCAAATAATATACAGATAATCAAATCAGGCAAAAATGCAGCTTCACAAAACTCACTAAGTTTTTCCTCTTAGAGGATTATTAATTTGGGGTATGAGTAAATTTCCCCAGTTAACATAACTCAAAGCTCCTAGAATTTAAGTAAAATTGTTTCCTTCTCTCCCAGCTACTCATCCATCCAAAATACTATTTTCATTCATTTCACTGCCACCAAAGTCTAGACCTTGCTTAGATTTGGCCTAATTACACTCAAGATGGGATGGACTACCCTCCTGGCTCATATGTTAAAGAATCTGCCTTCAGTGTGGGAATCCTGGGTTTGATCCCTGGGTCGGGAAGATCCCCTAGAGAAGGAATTGTTACCCACTCCAGTATTCTTGTCTGGTGAATTTCATGGACTGAGGAGCCTAGCAGACTGTAGTCCATGGGGCTGCAGAGAGTTGGACATTACTGAGGAGCTAACACTTTCACACTCAAGCTTCCCAGGTCTGGCTAGTGGTAAAGAACCTACCTGCCAATGGAGGAGACATAAGAGACGCAGGTGGAATCTGCCTCCAATGTGGGAGATCTGGGTTCGATCCCTGGGTCACGAAGATCCCCTGGAGGAGGGCATGGGAACCCACTCCAGTATTCTTGCCTGGAGAATCCCATGGACAGAGGGGCCTGGCAGGCTGCAGTCCATAGCGTCAGAAAGAGTCGGACACGACTGAAGTGACTTAGTACGCATGCACACTCAAAATAACCTATCTTTTGTTGTTTTGTTGTTGTTGTAATAACCTATCTTTAATGGGATCTTAACAGAGTTGGCTCTGACTCTCTTAGACCAAGGACAGGAATGCCAGCCTAGTGGCTTCTGGGTATCACCTCAAGAGAGTATCACCCTATTCTCAAGAAATCACTGCAGATGATATGTATAGCACACCTTCAAGCACTGTATTCACTGCACTGGAACAAGAGTTCAGGGTACCTCTCATACCTGCCCCAGGTAGGGATTTCCCTCTGGTTTATCCCTGATCCAAAAGTAACTACTAAGCAATTTTCCATTCCATGCTCTTCTCTCACCTCTACAACACACAGTCTGAGAGTCTGGCCTCTGCCATCACCCATAGCTTAACTAATAATTAACTCTCATAGAAGGAAATGCAGTTCCCCAAAGCCCCAAACTACCCTAGCTCAGGGCATTTCCACTTGATTGCTCACATCTGGAGTCCTACCTCTTACTCTTTTTTCAACTGTTGTTTAGGTAATGAGGACATCTTACTTTCTTCCTGATATTATTGCTTCTCCTAACCTCTTCCTTTCTCTGGGCAGGAGTATGTCTTGCTTAGCCTCAGATTTCCACTGTTATCACAGTGCTTTCTAAAGAAAATATATCCAGTTAATGTTTGATGAATAAATGAGTCATTGAGTCATTTTTTATTTACTAAGATTAAGATCACTCTTAAATAAGCCAAGCAAATTCAAGTATATATCTTTTAATTTTACTGAACAATAGACTAAAATAGCTAAAGGGAATCCAAAAATTAAAGATTTGCTAAGATTATGCCTATTTTCTTGAATAAGCCAAGCAAGTACAGGTGTATATTTTAATATTACAGGAAAATACACTAAAGTGGTTAAGAGAATCCAAAAAGTAGGGTTTGTTTAGATTACTCTTACTTTCTTGAATAAGCTGTACAAATCCAGGTATACATATCTTAAATTTTACAGAACAATAGACTAAAGTGGTATGGGAATCCAAAAATGAACCACGTTTTACATTTTTTTCTCTATTGCCTGCTGAGTTTTTCCACATTTCCAAGAAAATCCCAATTATCATGTTATCTTGTTCCAGGTCACAAAATACAATGAAAGGTTCCCCAATTTGTTTTGCAAAATATCAAAACTCTTATTCTTAAATCTGATAAATGTTTAGCAATAAATGTGATCAACATCATTCATAAACAGATTCTAAAGTCAATAAACCTATTATAAAGAAGAGTATTTGAAAAAAATATTGAAAAGGAAGAAAAAACGATAAACTTTCAAGTCACCCATACAGAACAGGAAAACAAAGTTGTTGCACAGAGTGTTCTCCCCAGCCTGACCCTGACTGTCCTCTCCCTAGAAACCTGACTGCCCTCTTCAAACACAGTGCATCATCCTTCAGTTGGGTCAGGAATTACTGGCAAATGCTGCACAGTAAACATGGCAGTATTACTATCCATGGAGTTATTTCTGGCCCCAGCTCTCTCTTCCTCATCTCTTAAAGCCTCCTCATACCAGAGTGAGAAGGAAATGGGGTCCACCCCTTTGATCTTGGCCAAGAATTCCAAAACTTGCAGCTTGCTGGTTTCAGCATAGGCCCTTGGACCCCACAGGAATTCGTACCGTGAAGGATCACTATTAGGCACCATCCGGTACTCTAGATAATTCTCCTGCACCCAATCTCTGGTGATGAGCTTCCTAGGCTCCCCATAAATGAAGTGCTTCCTCCCAGCATGGACGCCTATCATATTCAAGAAATCCCAGATGTTTTCCTCAGGGACACAGTTGCCCTCTATGAATATCACACCCAGGATGATTATCAGAAGGCCATTTGTAGGCATGATCTGATCATCACTATTTTTCTTATCATGGGTGAGGCCTAATGAGTTGACAAGGACGTAGGAGTGGGTTTTAGGGTCCACTTCCTTCACATCAATGCCAGAGATCATCTCTAGGCACTTAGAAGCTTTCTCAAAGATCACAGGGAATTGTTTGTTATCCCTTTCATTGATAACCTTTAGCATTTCTGCCTTTGTGATGGGCTCCTTCTGTTGATATTTGAGGATCATGAAATGCACCAAATTTACCACCTTCTCATTTAGCAGGTTACTGGGCAAGGATTCGGTGTCTTCTGAGGCCTGGAGAGAGCCTGTGCCCTCCTCTTCTTGGCTGCTGGAGTCTTCATCTGATGTGCTCCATGACGTGGAAGAGAAGAACCTCCCGGGACTCTCCAGAGGCTCCTGCTCCTCCTCCTCCTGCTCCTTATTCTCCTCCTCCTTCTCCTGCTCCTTCTCCCCCTTCTCCTTCTCCTCCTGCTCCTCCTCCTCCTCCTGCTCCTTCTCCTCCTCCTCCTCCTTCTGCTCCTTCTCCTCCTGCTCCTCCTCCTCCTCCTGCTCCTTCTCCTCCTGCTGCTCCTTCTCTTCCCACTTTTTCTCCTCCTGCTGCTTCTCCACTAGTGTGCCCAATATCAGAGGAGAGGAAGGGAGGGAAGAAGGGTAGGAGAAGGTAAAAGAGCAAGAAGAAATGGAGAAGGTCTCCTCCTCCTCCTCCTTCTCAGGTATGGGATCCTGAACCATCAGCGGGCCTTGTATCTCACTTTGGGTCTTAAAGCCTGGCTCAAATGTGAGGCGTGGACGCTTTGGAGAGTGAGGCATGATAACTCTTGTTGGAAGGAGCAGGTGGAAGTGTTAGCAGGATGGTGGAAGATGGGATCCCACGGGCCTGAGGGAGAGAGAAAGTGGGTCAGCAGCCTCATCAGAGAAATGTACCCTTGGCAGCTCATGACAAAGGCTGGCTTATAGATCTCCTCTTTAGGGAGTTCTCTAGGGCCTCACAGGGCTCCTGTCTCCCTGGACAGTTTGTCCCCTGGGAACCTGTAAAAGGATATTAGAAAGCTCCTCAGAGTGCAGCCAACCAGCACAGCCCAAGGCTTCCAGGGATGACTGTGGCAGGTGGGGTCAGGCACTGTGAGGTCCCTTCTGTTCTGGAATAGTTGGGGTCCTTGGTAGACATTCAGAGTATGCACCTCACTTTGACTTCCCAGCACTGCCTGGGCTTCCTCTGCTCTGCTGACCTGAGGACAGGTGCCTCACACCAAGGCCCTTACCTCATAGTTCCTGGAGCCCCTGACAGTGAGGAGAGGTTGAGTTTTGTGAGGTCATTGCTGCTCTGGAGTGGATGATCCCCTCCATGCTAAGGTTCTTACCTTTGCTCTAACAAGGCTTGTGCCCCCTCTTTCCCTACCTCCACTAGCTAAAGACAAGAGCTTACATTCCTGAGACAGATGAGAAGTGAAGGGCAACACTTTTGGCCACACCTACCCAGGGCCTCCCAAGGTGACAGCAGGAGCTGAATGAAGTTTGCGGGTTCCCCCTCTCTCCTAGCTGAGGGTTACCCTCATTCCTCACGTTGCTGCTGGTTGGTTCTGGGACTCCCTCTGCTGTCCTGAGTCTGGCCCCTTCAGAACAAGCCCTCACCTGCCTGAGACCACCAAGAAGGAAGTAAGGGTACACCATCTGACCACTGTGCCCAGGGCCCCCCAGGGCTGACCACAGGGGCAGGGCAGAGCTGGGTATGCCTTGGGTCCTCAGGTAAGGGTATGCCCTCACTCAGGGTCCCTATCTTACCTTAAACTCTGGCAGAGTCCAGGACTTTTCCCTCTGCTGACCTGATGTAGCTTCCCCGCAGACTGCCACTTTCTCAGAACAAGGACTTCACCTCCCTGAAAAACCCATGGACAAAAATGAGGCACTACAGCTTACCACCCTTGCTAGGTCCTTCCAGTGCTAAAAGCAAGTGCTGGGCCCCATGTGTCCTTTGGTAGGGCTATCTTCAGTCCTCTCTCATCCATTTTTACCTCGACAGGGCCTAGACCACCCCCTGCTGACTGAACATTACTGCCTCAGACCATGACCTCACCTTTCTGAGACAATTCGCTCATCCTTGGATAAAGTGGGGGCATATCATGTACAACCAACCCTGCCTGAATCCTTCCAGGCCTGCAGACAAGATATAGCTAGACTTCATGGGGTCTCTTCTTTCTGGCCTTTGGTCCTCACCAAGTATCCTTACCTTGACTCTGGTAGAGTCTGGGACTTTTCCCTCTTCTGATCTGATGTGACTCCGTCAGCTGACCTGTCTTCTCACTCACACCAAGGCCTTTGCCTCAAGACCTGAACACCCTCAAGACAAAAGTAAAGAGACATTACATCCAACCACCCCTGGTTGGGGGTCTCCCATGGCTGGCAGCAGGGGCTGGGCTTCCTCTTCTGAGGCAGGTAATTCTGTCTTCCCTCAATGTATTCTTTACTCCTGGAGGGCCTTGCCCACTTTAGGTGGTGACCTGAAATCATCCTTCTCAGACCAAGGTTTTATCTCCCAGGGACACTTCCACATACCCCTTGCAGGGAGTGAGGGTATACCAAATCTGAGCATTCCTGCCTAGATCCTTCCAGCGTGGATAGTGGGGACAGGGTGGAGTTTCTGTGAGACCCCTTCTGTCTGTGTTAGGGAGTAACCTTAGTCCTTCTTCAAGGCCTTTACCTTACCTTGACTCCTCAGATTCTGGAACTTCCCCGTTTGCTGATGTCATCAGCTCAGACCAAAGTGTTCATCTCCCTGGGACACCCCATACCAAGTAAAAAGACACCAAGTCCAGCCACCCCTGCCTGGGGTCTGTTCTGGCATAGGGAATGTACTCAATCCTTGCTCAAAGTATTCATCTGTACCCCTGGTGAGGCTTGTCCTACCCTCCGCTGACCTGAAGCTTTCTGCTCCAACCCAGACCTCACCTCCCTGAGACACTCCATCCCCTGAACTCCTGGTAGAGCTTGTGGCAGAAGTGAGAGTTCCTCCCCTCTGTTCACCCCTACTTGTATCCTCCTAGGGCTGAGATTCTGTGGCATCCTTCTTTTCAGGGAAAGGGGGTCTTCAGGCCTCTCAGTGGTCCTTACCTTGATACCTGACAGCCTGAAACTCCTCCCTATTCTGAACTGATGTGTCTCCCCTTCAAAGGGATGCCCTCACCTCTCTGAGACCCCCCCTTCCCCAGTAAAAGTTAGGAAATGCCACATCTGTCCAACCCTGCCTGTGGTCTCCTGGGGCTGACAAGAGGAGCAGAGCTGGGCTGGGGCCCCTTCTCTCTAAGACAGATATTTTCAGGGCAGGCAAGGCCAAATCTACCTGGGGAGGGAGGTCCTCTCAATCCTCCCTCACAGTCCTCTCTGTTATCCAGAGGTCTACCCCTCAGAAGAAGTCTCAACTCCCTGAGACTCCCAGAGTAGAAGTCAATAAAGCCATATTTGGCATCCCTGCTACATGGCCTCGCAGGGCTGACAGCAGGGGCAGATTTCTGGGAGACCCCTCTTCACAGGGTGGGAGGTCCTGTAGATCTTCGCCAGAGTACTTATCTTGGCGCCTGACAGCATGTGACTCTCCTCCCTCTGCTGAACTCAGGCACACCCACCAGACCCAGGTCTTCCATCCTGGGAAGCCCCCAGAAAAAAAAGTAGTCAGGGCCCAAATCCAGTAAGCATCCTTGGTTCTCCTGTGCTGATGGCAAGAGCAGAGAACTGCTGGGTCCCATGTGTTCTGGTGTAGTGGGTGCCCTCAATCCTTTATTTGACCGTGGGGAAGGCCTGCAACTTCTTCCTCTACCGAACTGTCCCTGCTTCTTCAGACTTGGTCCTCACTCCCCTGAGGACATCCAGAGAAACGTAAAGAGAGGCCACACCCTCCCTCCCCCACCTCCCACCCCTTCCCATTCCACTGCCCTCCCCACCCCTCCGCCCAGCACCTCTGAGGGCTGATAGTAGGGGCTGACCAGCATGTCTTCTGCAGCAGGGAGCTCTGGCCCCGCTTAGGGTATTCCCACCACCCCGCAGGCAAAGGCCTCTCTCCCCGGAGACCAGCCCCACCACGTCCTGAGAGCAAGGGCCACCACTCCCGAGCGCCGCGGCCAAGTCCTCCGGGTGACTGGGGCGGTGGAGCAGGGTTGGTGGGGCTCCTCGCTGCGGAAGGTGCCCCCAATCCTCAGAGTTTCACATTCACGCCCCACGGGCCCACCTCCCCTCCTTCTCTTGACCTGAGGCCGTTCCCTCACCCTGCAACCACCATCGCCATGAGGTGACAGAAGTCAGAAGACAAAGATGGGTGCAGCGCCCCCTAGCCCAGGGCTGAGAGCAGGCGGGGAGGGCGTCATGGGCCCCCGGGTCCCCAGGGGGACCCCTCAGCCTCACAGGGTGGAGCGGGAGCCTTCCTATGCATCCTCACCTCCACGTCTCCCACCCTGAGTCCTCCACCAATGCCTCAGTGCCCCAGTCCCCTGGGGGCAAGTCGGCACACATCACACGGGGGACCCCTGCCTGAGGCCTTCTGGGAAAGATGGCCGAGGCATAGCGTGCCAGAGGATCCTGTCCCCGGGGGCTAAGGAGGCTGCTCTCCCCTGCTCTGGGTCCTCGCCTCAAAGGCCGACGGGGCCTGGGCTCGTTCTTTGGTGCCCCAAGGCCAGCTTCCTCTAACAAGCCTCACCGCATGTCCAGGAAGCCTACTGTGGGTTCTCACAGCTGAAAGCAAGCACCCGGTGGGGCTCCCTCCACCTGACCTGCAGTGGGCTTCTCCCGCTTCTGGGTCCTCACCTGATAGACAACAGCTGGACTCCTTTTTCCCCGCCTCCTCAGAGCAGCCTCCTGTCCCTCAGACTCCAGAAGAAATGGTCCTGACACACCACCTCTGGGGTCCTACGCGTAGTCTCCCAGGGATGGCTTCAGGGCTAAGGCGGGGCCAGGTTTCCCCGCCCCACCCACGAGGTGGATTTTCGGCTCTACCTATCAGACACGGCCAGCGTTCCCACTCAGTCTGAGGGGCAGGGCTGGATTTCCAGCTCTACCTTATGAGACGCAACCGGGGTTCCAGCTCTTTCTATGGGACAGGACCCAGTTTCATGGCTGTCTGTGCAGCAGGGCGGGGTTTCCGGCTCTACTCTGAGAAGCGGCCAGGTTTCTCCACCCTATCTGTGAGGCGAAGCCAGGGTTCCCACTCTTTCTGAGAGGCAGGATTTCCAGCTCCGCCTATGAGACACAACCAGGGTTCCCGCTCTTTCTGCGAGGCAGGGCCCAGTTTCATGACTCTGTGCAGCAGGGCAGGGTTTCCCGCTCTACCATGAGACGTGGCCAGGTTTCCTTGCCCCATGTATGGGGCAGAGCCAAGGTTCCAGGCTAAATGCTGTGTAAGAGAGTCGCAGCATCCATGAGAGAGATGAAGCCCAACTTCCTAATGGGTCACTTCACTAGCCAGACTTAGACTTTAGAAACTTTTGTTCAAAAAAATGTACTTTCTACATGGAAGAAGTTGAACAGTTGTGATTATGGGATATCCTGCCTCTTTCAAGCTTATCTAACTCTGCATTGTCCAATGAGGTGATTTTTTTTTATAACCCTCATTCTTAGAAATATATTGTACATTGTATATCTCTACCAAATATATATGTAGAATATGTGTGCGTGTGTTTGTGTGTATTTCATGAATATCTACCCTTACTGTGGGTGATTCATTGTGATACTCACTATTCCATTTTTAGCCCATTTTTTATAAAATGGGCTAAAGTAGTACATTAAAAAAAAAAAAAAAAGACCAGTCTTTTACCCACTAAAGGGGTTTCAACTGATTATTAGCAGACTCAAGTCATACTGGTTAAATCAGTTTTTCCTGCTGTCCTGCTGTCCTCAAGGATACTGGCATCTAGGGTCTGAAGTGCAGCCTCAGATTACTTTATTGAAGTAGGAGCAGAAGCTTTTAAACTTTACTCCTCCCTATATTGCCATCTTCCTTCTATTATAATCTGTAAACTCTCTCCAACCTCTCTTAGGCCCAGGACTTCCTCATGCAAACACAAGTTCAACACAGTCCTCAGTCTTCCCCAGGGGTTTCTCATGTTTTGTTGCTTAGATTTTATTATGTACAGTTGTGAGATTTCTTTTTATTCTACCTTCTATGGTTTTCCAGGCTTGATTTGGGGAGAAGACAACAGACCAAGTTTGATTGTCATCTTAGCAGCTACTCTAAGGCATGAAATCTGTAAATGAGAATTGGCATCTTTACAATGATGTAATCCCATCAGTAAGTATGATATACTGCCCTATTTATCTGAGACTTACTTTACCTGAATCTATCAGTAAACTTTTATAGTTGCCTCCATAAAGATCTAAAATGTTTTTGTGATGATTCTTTTAAGGTACTTTTTGGATTTTATTGCTGTTGTGAACGGGATATTTTCTATTACATGTTCTAATCTGTTACTGCTTTTATGTGACAAGCCTCTGGCTTTTGATATAGTGAATTTATACTTTCTGAGGTTTCTTGTTCATTTGAATATTCCACATGCTTATTCTTTAGAATTCTCTACATAGGTGATATCACCAAGTAGTATAACTTTCTTTTCAATATTCATACCTCTTATTTATTTTGATATCCACAGTTCTAACTTTGTGTTCCAGTATCATCTTAAATGATAAAGATGATAGCATGTATCTATTTATTTTCCCTGACTTTAATGGAAATGCTTCTACTATTTCACATTAAAGCATGTTTGTTGTAGATCTGGAGGGATGAAAGTTCCCTTGTAACCTTAGTTTGCTAAAAGAATTCCCATGAACTTGTATTGAAATTTTCTAAGATTTTTTTTTAATGTACTCATTGAAGTAATGAAATGGCTTTCTTTTGTTATGGGCTGAATTGTATACCCCAGAACTCTTACGCTAAAGTCCTAAACCTCAGCAATTCAGAATGTGACTGAATTTGGAGATAGGGCCTTTAAAGAGATAACTGAGGTAAAATGAGGTCATAAGGATGGGGCCTAATCCAATATGACTGGAGTACTCATAAGAAGAAGGGATGGGGAAACAGATACACATAAAGATCATATGAAGACAGAAAGAGAAGACAGTCATCTACAAGCTGAAGAAAGTGACCTCAGGAGAAACCAATCCTGCCAACATATGGATTGTAGACTTGTAGCCTCCAGAATTATAAGGAAATAAATTTCTATTGTTTAAGCCACCTGATCACTGGTATTTTTGTATGGCAGTCCTAGCAAACTAACACACTCCTTTAATTTGTTAATGTAGGGAATTATAATTGAAAGTATTTCCTAATG